CTTACAGTATGCATACTAAAAAATTACATTGCATATGCAGCTATTTTTTTATATATTTTATGTTATTTTAATATAGACTTTAATTTATTTATTAATTTATTTATTTAGTAGTTTAGAATGTTTAATATTTAAATTCAAATTTAGTTACTTATCGAAGATGAATTTTATATTTTTTTTATATATTTAATATTATTCATACGTATACATTAAAATTCAATTAATACTTATAAATGCAAATTTTTAATTTTTACATTTTTATAATTTTGAAAAAGAGAAATTTTTTGAACTCAAAATGGTAAATCTAGTTAAAGAAGATTATTTGAACATATGATTTGAATAGAAAGATATGGCGTTCTAAACGATAAAAATAATACAAAACATAATTAATTTAAATTTAAAGCTAACATTATAATTCATAGGAATAAATATTATAAGAAATTTTATTGCAAGTTTAAATAGAAAACAGGATTCTAAGACACAAAAATTATTTTAAAATTTTTATGATATAATTATATTCTAATTTTGCAAAATAGTTACTAATATGCTAAGGAATTTCTTGGATTGACTAACCTTCACCAAAAATTTACCAACTCAATTTCCATTTTTCAAATAAACTTTGCAATTTTTAACTCAAATTAGTTTATTCGGATTAAATAGTAATGAATAATAATTAAGAAAAATTAGCTCGTCTGATTTCCACATAAGAACACTAAGTGTTAAAAACATTTAAAACATATCGAATGAAAGAAACGGTTTTCTAATCTTTACCAAAAACTAATCCACACGAATTCCAACTATTATTCGAATATTTATAAGCGGCTCATTATTTTATTGATAGTGATTTTTTTTAACTTTTAACAGCGCGAGTTAGCAAGCTTTTCATCACCTTAGGGGATACCTTTTACATTTTTTGCTGCACCAATAAAACGAAACCTTCCATTTTAGTCAGTCATTTTTGACAAAGACTTTAAATGGACAATTTTTATTTTACCGAAAGAAATAAAAAAATCTAAAGCCATAGGTATAGGAGTATATGTCAATAAACAGAAATGAGCTAATTTCTGTTAGGAACAATACATAACATTTAATAAATTGCTAATTGTTTCAATAAACACTAGAATAATCTTACTTAGCATTGCAGATTTACCGCGTTCTCAGCGAAATAAGACATCTTTAAAAATTCTAAGAAAAAAATTAAATAATGCTACTGAATATTTATCTTACTTATCAATAGATAGTTTATTTATTCCAAGGTCTGAAAAAAAATGAGTTGAAACAATTGGCTTTTCGTCATTCTTACGTATTGAGTGTAATGGGTAAATAATTAATACAGTACACAGTGTTGTATATTGCATTGTGACTTTAGGTCAATTTTTAGAACTTACCGTTCTGTAAAAAAATATAAATAATAGAAATAAAAGTTGTTTTCGAAACAAACAAAAAATATAATAGTTGTTTTTTTTAGTTTTTGGATGTTTTAAAATGCTTAAAACGACTTGAATTGTTAGAAAGTTTAAAATGATGTTAATTTTATTTTTTATTTTTTGATAATTGTTTATGTCCAATATACGTCAAAAATCAAAGTTATGTGTTTAAGATATAATTTTACACATTCATCAATTTTGCATTGTTGGTACGGTACGCTAGTTTACGCAAAAAATAATAAATACGTACTTGTAATATCGTCTCATAAAGATCAAAAGTGAGTCCTGTGTTTAGTTATAGTTATACAAAATTATTTTTGATAAACGAGCAAAATTTAATGTGGAACACAAAGATCCAATTTGTCAAACTCAGTAAAACTCCCAGTTAATTCGCTTATTATTTTATTCCAAAATGATCAATTTTAATAAACTTGTAATATTAATATTTTTCCAAGAAAGCACAGTAGTATATAAAAATTTCTCGGCTTTCAAAATAGATTGAATATTATTAAAATTATAGTCGTAAAAATAACTTTAGTTTAAGAAAGGTCTTTCAATTTTTCATGTTTTTGTACTAAAATACAAAAAATTGTTTTTGTGTATAACATACAAAAAAGATCTTTTGATCTTAAACCCTTAAAATTTGTATTTATGTATATTCTATTGTACCACGTCCATATATAGGGGAGACTGGGTACGGTTGTGCCAGGGTACGGTAAAGACAGTCGTCATAACTGCTAAACCAGTGATTGCCAAAGTGGGCGCCAGCGCCCCCTTGGGGGCGCTGCGGCGGTTCTGGGGGGCGGTGATGGGCTCGTGCATTGGGACTTAAAGCGTAATTTTTGGAATAGCGTTTTTGATATTGTATTAATTTCCGAGTCTAAATCCAATATTGCTTGCATTTTAACGCGACTCCCTTTATTACTTTTTGCGAACAAATTTACCGTAGATACGAGCGCACCCACATTAAAATTATAATCGAAATACATCGATTGGCTTCTAAATTTTTAAAATCCGTTCATGCGTTTTTAAGCAAACATCGTTTAAAGTTCTAATTTTGACAAACGCCACAAAAACGATACCAATTTTTGTAAACTTTGACGAATATTCAAAATTTAACGACTTGTCGTAGGATTGTAATATTTTAGTATGATCTATAAGACTGTGGTATCTTCCGTCAAAAAAAAACATAAAAATTGTCTAAAAAATTACTTCTAGTTATATTAATAAAAACACTTTATTACAAGAAAACGGCGCGGCCGATCATTACATAAAACTAATCAAGTCGATACCCAACCAGTATGTTTCGAACAGTTTTTGAATTTTCAAAATCGATTTAGAATTGCGGACTAAAACGTCGACGAAATTTTTTTCACTTTTCTGCGTTCTACAAAGAAACGGCTCGGCCGATCGTTAAACAAAACTGAGAAACGTTAGTCCTCATCGAGATACATCGAATGGCTTTTAAATTTTTGAAATCGGTCCAGCCATTTTTGAGAAAAGGACGATTATGGCAAAAAATCTAAACACACACACACATACTGCTTTCCAATTGTTGGTTTCGGATTTTTTGATGAAAACAAAGTTCTCCTTCGGAAAGTTTGTAAGGGGGGCGCTGAGTAACATTTTTTCTGGAAAGGGGGCGGTAGGTGAAATAAGTTTGGGAATCACTGTGCTAAACTATACTGATATTGAGATAGGACCCAAAAGGAGAAAGATGAAGTATGACTGTTTAAACAATTTTCATTGTTGCTGTTAGTGTCTTACATTAACATGAATTGTAGATCGCATTGTTTTTAAAAAGTAAAAAGTAAGTTTCCATGTTCGAATTATTTTTAACTTCCCGTAGGGCAAGTTATAGTAATCGCAAAAAAATCGAAAATGAAATTTTTTATATATCTTTATGTTTCAAAGCTTTCTGAATATTTTGGCATACCTTAGAAAAAATGGATGGATGTGTGTGTATATGTCTGTGTGCGTGTGTGTGTGCGGATACAAATTTTCGTCGACGATTTCGGGAACACCGATCAACCGATTTGAATAATTCAAAATACATTCGATTTGTATTGATAAGGAGACATGCTGATTAGTTTTTGGCAAAGGCGGGTCTAGCCGTTCCGAAGATATGGGGCAAAAAGTGCCAAAAATGGTAACTCAATTTTCAAGAGAACGGAGCGTCCGAACATTTTACTTGCATTGACGATGATGAAGAACCAATTACATTTACGGGAAGGCATGTCTAGCGGTTTCAGAGATCTAGTAAAAAAAAATAAAACTAGTGGGGTAGGTGGCATCGTGCCTTAAGGCAAATTGCTGGAACTTCCCGTACCGTAACGAAATGTTCGAGGAATACTGAATGTTTTCAAATAGATTATTATAAATATTGTAACATTGTCTAATATTTATAAGAATTATATAAACTCAATTGCAAAGTTGAAATTATTTGTTTAAAGTATATTAGAACTATAGTCAGAATTAAAAATAAAATCTGAATTATTTTCGGTTTACAACAAATTAAAAAAAAAAAAAAAATGGAACAAAAATTTTTTTTTTCCAAAATCAATTATTTTGTTAAGACAAGCAGAAAGTTCTTTGAATCATTCGAATCGGACGCTTAGTTCTCTCAAAAACTGCCATTTTTTACATATTTGGCTCCGTATCTTCGAAATGGCTGGGCCTGCCTCTGCCAAAAACTAGTAAACACTTCTCCCAATCATTACTAATTGAATGTTTTTTAGATCATTCAAATCGGATACTCCGTTATCTCAAAAAGTCGATTTCTATTTTCTGCACTCTTTGCTCCGTATCCTCGAAACGGCTGGACCTGCTTTTGCCAAAAACTAATCAGCTCTTTTCCCTATCGATAGGAATCGAATGTTTTTTAAACCGTTCAAATCGGTTGATCCGTACGCCCGAAAACGTGGGCGAAAATTTGTATCCATACATACATACACACACACACACACATCCATTTTTTCTGAGGTATGCCAAAATGTTCAGAAACCTTCAAAACGTCGAGAAATGTAAAAATTTTCAATTCCGATTTTCGGCCCATTACAATAACTTACTCTACGGGAAGTTAAAAATGCCATTTTGAGGTCAAAAATTATCATTAGACATATGCACATCAAATTATCAGATATTTAATGGAGATTTTAATAATGTGTATCAATTTTGTTTACATTTCTATGGGTTTCGTAACATCGTTTGTCCGTTAGGCGGCGACGCGGCGCTTACGCGCTTCGATATTGCAGCTAAAGCAGTGCGATTGCTTTAAAAAAAAGTTAAAAATTTCCAAAATATTTCAAACTAAAAGAAACATTTTTTTACAAAAGTCTTTTTTCCAAAAAAGTTTTTTTTTCAAAAATTAGAAATTTCTCAAAAACCTAATTTTTTCAAAGTTTAAAACATATTTAACCCGTTTTAAAATTTTAATTTTTGGTACGGGAAGTTCCAGCAACTTTCCTGAAGAGACGACGCCATACACCATTGGTTTAATTTCAAATTATTTGTTAATTTTATCCCTAAGAAAACATGTCTTTCTAATTGTTGATGGATATATTTTCTTTTTATTAGGAGTTGGTAGATAAGAATCGCCGTAATCACAAAGGATGGATGCTCCTTGGCGGCTTTGCCCTTTTGGTTCTGGGCGCTGTCATCCTGGTGACCGTACTGATGAGCACACCTCCAGTTCCGAGATATCCTCCACCAAAACCGGCCCTTCGGCTCCATGACTTCTTGTCAGGAAGGATGAATCCTGAAAGATTCAATGCTACGTGGATAAGTGGTAAGTCCTACATTTTTAAATCTCTTTTTTTTATTAATGGAGTAGGGAACGCGTATAATTTCTAAATGGTTCCTTATTGACTTATAGTTTTTCTAAATCATATTTTTTAATATTTCTATAAATATTTATTAATACTTATGCTTAGGAAGGTTTATGAAACTTCGTAATAATCATTATAAGCCTAATACCACAATTGTAACGTTGTTGACAATTATTTAAAAAAAAAAAACATGTGCATAGAAACTTTTATCGATTGATACTTGATAAAGTGACAGCTAATATGTTTGGATTTGAATTAAAATCAATATTGGCACTATTGGTAACTATGTGTAAATTGCAAGTTGCATGAACTTTGGGATATTTGTAAGTAATCGTCATCATTGATTAAAAATAAATAATGTGATAAATTTTTTAACTGATTATTTTGTTTTCACTAAAAACTAAACAATCCGATTCTCAATCGATTTTTTAACAAACTTATAGGAGCGCATTTGTATGTCCGCATTATTTCAAACTTTAATGAATTTTTATGTTAATTTGATCAAAAACCCAAAAATATTTAACATTTAATTAGAAAGAAACGGTACTGCCGATCTTTGTCGACAGCTAATCGGAACGATTTCTAACTGATGCCTTAGGTTTTGAAAATTGGTTCAACATTTTTGAATCATTTTCAAAAATTCTCAAAAAAAATCGTGAACCGATTTTGTAAATACGTAAAGCAATATCACTTGAGAATTGGTTTCAATAATTAATTATTTGGTCGGAGATCGAAGAGATCAAGCCGATTATTAGATATATAAAACTTTCACAAATTTAATAATTTAGAAATATTTCTACTCGATTATTTTCACATATTTGGATTATATATATTTGTGCATTAGTTAGAAGATTAATCCGATTTTCGTGAATTTATATATTTCTCCGTATCTCAATTGTGACCATTTAATTGAAACATTTCCATGAACGCCATCAAATTCTGCATTATCCCATAACAATGTACAGATGCAATAAATACATTATATTAAGCCATTGATGTGCTCAGAACTCCATAATAGTTTTGTTCGAAACTTGTGTAATTTAACATGGGCTTAATTGAATTGTTGAAACTGCTCTGTGCCTATGGATCACTGTATATGTGTATCTAATCCAATCATGTGGAGCTGGAACACGTCCACTGCTGGCAACTCTGTTGTGATGCTCTCATTACCAGATAACCTGCATGTTTCATTAAATGCAATTCACTCTACGATCCGTTTAGGATACTTAATTATTGCTAATTTCAATTGCGTTTTGAACGCTTTGAACAGAACTCTGAATCGATTAATATTTTCCAATATATATAATATAATATTATTACTTCGTTGCACTTCAACCATAGTTTTCAACAAATAATTTATTTATTTCAAGCTTTTGAGGTTGTCATATGGATTCTACCAAATAGTTTTTGGGTGGTATTCTTTTAAATCTTCACCTTTAAACACTATTGATTGATTGATTCTCCGAAATAGGTTTTGGTATTTTTTGGTTTAAATATGAGAAACGATACACAAAATCATACTTCACGTATTTTATGGAAGAGATCGAAATATCATTACAAACTATAAATAAGTCAAGATACGTATAGAGAAAATGGTGATAGTACCAGCGGTTATGCCAAAATGGTGATAGTGCTAGATAGCAATATCAAAACAATATTTTTTATTTTTCTGATTTAAACACCTTCTTTTGCTCCAAAGAAATATGTTTGATATAATTTTTTGTTTATAAATATTTTTTACATTTTGAGAATATAGAATGTCACTTTTTTATGAACATTAAAACTTTTCGTAAATGAAACATATATATTTGATTTGAATAGTCTTGAATTTGATCTTGATATATATGTTTAATTTGAGTTAAAAAGTCGGGCGTTACACCAATAAAAATAGGCCTTATTTAAAAATTGGCTAGATTTAGTAACTTTGCCATAACATAAAGAAAGCTATGATCACACTTCTGTCAGATTTTGAGCATTATTGTCACAGTCTTGTCGCAGTAGTAATCAGTTCAAATGCGAATCGCGTCTTCAAAAGTTTATTCCGGGGGGTATTCTCATGTTTTTTGAGACTTTATTTATTGTTATTTGTAATGATTTTCATTAAAACCAATGAACTAGTTAAGTACTATTTTTATCACTTTCATTGAATTACTATGTGTTTGATTATTTTTTATTTTTTTGATCACTTTCGGACAAAATGTCATAGTACTATTTTGCAAGAACTACATGGTAGTATCGGTAGTTCATTCGAGGCCAAGAAAAAACAAAAATGAAACCTGTCAAAGGTGATTGGCTTTCAACTTCTAAGTAGTTGTGGTTTAAAAATAGACCAAAAGATCCACCAGTAATAACAAGAAACTTGCATTTATTGCAAAGACCTCTTTTTGCGTTCTGAGCCCGAGGAAGGTTTGTTACAATGCATGACTTTGGGCATACGGTGCATATGCTGATGTCCTAAAGAGGAAGACCATATGATTTATTTAAACTAACTGCCTTCTCAAAAATTAGTATCTCAGTATGTCCTTACCCTACATATTATTTTGTCCGTACTATATGACCAAAATGGTTTGTGTAATTGGTTGTATTTTCTTTAATAAATGTTTTATTGTAGTTCTTACTAAATTAAATACTATGACAATGGTAGTCAATGAACTAAAGATGAGTAAAAACAATGAGTTTGGTTAAATCATTGAATCTGGTTCTCATTAAATAAATAAATATCATTAAGAAAACACAATGTCATTTTGTTCTTACTTCCCCTAAATGAAAATACCTCGAGCTATTGACGTTTACTATTTCGAATACGTAAAAAGACTTGATGACTGAGACATAAACAGTTAAATAAATATTTTTGTGAAAAATATTTTTCTCTTATTTGTTTGTGATTTTTAAGAAGTACTTCGAAGGTATCGCTGATGATGATACCTTCGAAGTTGCTTTTGAAACTTCATTCGCTTCAATCTCATTGGAAAAAATAAGACTAAATATATATGTGTATATATAGGGTAGGCCGGGGCACAAAGGTCTAATTTGAGCAATTATTTTTTGAAAACCACACTAATTATATCACAGCAAATAACACATATCAAACAAACAACTATCTATCTTTGTTTAGTAAAACTCCCAGCTAATTCATCATTCTAGAAATGCATTTTATTTGCTGTTTTTTTTTTCAAAAAATTGTCACCAGGTATTTTTAATCCCATAGACGGGGTAAAATGGGACGGCTAGGAGGCAAACAGGTCCAATGTCTTACTTTCAATTTTAGAGATATTTTGCGAAATAATAGCTACATTATTCAACCAATACAAAATATAAATTTTTTACGTTATTTTTTTACAGTGATAACTCTGTATATAACCTTGATCTGGTATTTCATCAAAAACATTCATCAGCAGATTTGGAACTTTTTTTTAAATTCATCTCTTGTAAAATTGTCTTTGTCAGGGTAAAGGTTTAGTTAGTCCTTTTTACGCTACCCACATGTAATTTTATATAGTTATCAGTGACACCGTGCCACCTATTAGGTGATATAAAAAAAAACTGTTGAATTTAACTTAGAATTAACAATACATCCTATAAAACAATTAAATAACTTATACTTAAAGTGATATTGAGACCTCGTAAACTGAACAACAGTGCTCACATTCGAACAAACTAACAACGAAAGAAAATTTTAGTTTAATTCAGTTTATCTCTAGATAGTTACGTCGTAAGGATGTATGGTTACTCAAATTTTGCCCTATACCTTCAAATATTGTTGTTAAAAAAATTTAATATTATTTGTTTTTGATATATTGGTAATGGACGTTTTAACCGACGGTACTTTGTGTTTTTATACAACTAAACATAAATTATATGCATATGTATGCACACATGTTTAAATGAATATAAGTGATTCAAAGTGTTCCATAAGTTATTGAGTGCCATGCGATAAAATTGTTTGCTGAAATCAATACACCGAATAGATAATTATAATAGCAACGATAACCGCAATTGCTAATTTTATGCTTGAAGAATTATCTGACTAGCAGGACTCCGGTCGACCAACTAGAAAATAATGAGTATTTCAGAATTTGCATTATTTAAATCAAAATTTGTGGTTTCGAAACATCTATTATCTTATATGAAAAATTAATATATTTTTGAATGAAAATGGATTTTAACATATTATCTCATTATAACAGGGTAGTGCGGAGCTTAAAGGACCGCGAGTAAAAAGGCCCACCACCGATATCTCAGTAAAGTTAAGAATTTTTTAATAACAATATTTGGAAATAGAGGGAAGAAGATGTATAACCACCTTGATTTTTGCGACGTTGCTATTGGGCGATAAACGGCAATGTTTGAAAATCCATAACAAAAGAATTTTCTTTCGTTGTTAGTTTTTTTTTGTTGTGTGCACTGTTGTTTAGTCCATGAGATATTAATATGATTTTTAAGTATACGTTACTTAATTTTTTTACAAGATGTTTTGTTAATATTAAGTTGATTCAACAGTTTTTTTATATAATCTCTATAAAAGTTTATATGTGGGTGTGCTAAAAGGGACCATCTGAAGCTTTACCCTGGCAAAGGTGTAAACAATCAAAAATAGTAAATAAAAAAGTAAATTTTGTTAACAAAAGCAATTTTACAAGAGATAAGTTAAATAAAACGTTATTCCAACTTTGCTGATGAATATTTCTGAATATCTCATAAAATTTACATGTTGCAATGGTTGAATAATGTAGTTATTTTTTTGTAAAGTCCTTTTAAAATTATAAATTGGACATTGGACCTAGAGCTTGTTCCATTTTACTTCGCTTATGGGGTAAGAAGGACCAGGTGACACATTTTTGGAAAAAGTACAGCAAATAAAATACATTTATACAATGATGATTTAGCTGGGAGTTTAACTGAACATAGTTAGATGGTTGTTTGTTTGATATGTGTTATTTGTTGTGATATAATTGATTTG